TAGACTAGGTGCCGCGGCCACTACATCGTCCACAAGAGAAGTGCCACCCTTTTCGTTAAGCTTGATCAACAGTTTTGTAATTGCGATATTTGCATAGTCACCCGTGCCAAGAGACTTGATATAATTTATCAATCCCATCTCTTCCCAGATTTTATCGGCCTCACTGACTTGGATTAATCGATCGAGGTAAATGTCTTCAAGCCTGGAACCCAGAGCATGCATTTCTTCGGATTGAACAGCAAACGCTATGACTTCAGGAATTCTGCTCTCTCCATTTGACAACGGAAGAATAGTCCCCATAGACGCGAAGACAAGCTTGTCAGTATAAACATGCGTGTCATCCGAAACCTTCTTTGCAGTCATACCCTCTTTGACACCCAGGAGTAGCTCCTTAACTAAGGCATGCCTCTCAGCCAACACCTGCTCGTCATTCAAGACCTTTTTATCGGCAAGGACTTGCTTGAAGGTTGAGATTAGCTTGTGAACTAAACCCTGCTCGTCACTCAAGGCCTGCTTGTCAGTAAAGACCTGACTGCCAGCCAAGACCTGCTTGTCAGCCAAGACCTTCTTGATAGCCAAGATTAGCTGCTGAACCAAAAGTTGCTTGTTGTCAAAAAAGCGATCGACATCCAAAACCGTCTTAATAGACGAAACGAGCTGCTCAATCAAGCCTCTTTGGTCATCAAAGATTTGCTTGTCATCAAAGACTTGCTTTGTATCCAAGGTATCCTTGATAGTATCGCGTAACATCTGGACCAAGCCTTGCTTGTTAGACAAGACCTCGTCATCAATAAACTTATTGATATCGACCACTATCTTCTCAATCATGACCTGCTTGGCAGCCAACATCTTAAGGTCACTCACGACTTTGTTGATAGACGAAGCTAGATTCTCAACCAAGATCTGCCTGTCATCCAAGACCTGCTTGTCAATTAAGACCTGCTTATCATCCAAGTCCTGCTTTCCGTCAAAGTCCGGCCGGTAAAGCTTGCTTTCGGGTTCGACAAGATCCTTTAGATCAGAGTACCATGTATCGAATGCCGCGGTCGACAAAAAGGTTTTTGCTTCATTCATATCGAGCAATTCGTCGAATTGCGCACAAGCCAGATAGAATAGGTTCGCCAAGGCGTAGCCTCTCCATCTCCACCACGGCATAGTAGTTTTCTTTTCCCAAGATCTCGAGTTGCTTAAGCTTCGTAGCTTTAAATGATTTAAACCAACCATCCGCATTGAATCCCTGTACCTTCCGATATGTCTTCGACCACCTTGCAATCATTTCGATGTCCACCAAAGCATGTGCTATAGGACCTCCTTCTATCTGCATTCGTTCTTCGGAAAGAGGTTGGCCTTGATCCGTTGCTGATTGAAAGCCCCTTCTCAAATGTTGACTTTCACGACGCTCACCAGAAATGGACGATGTCGCTACCACACGAACAAGCTCAGGGTAGCAAAGAATTGCAACGGTAGATAACCCAACGATCGATCGTACAC